GGTCGCAGCAGCAGCAGCAGCAGCAGCACGCGGCGTTGCGGTGTATCTACAGCTTCTTTGTTTTTGCTGCAGCAGAGCTACAGCTTCGTGCTGCAGCAGCTGCTGTCTCTTCTCAGTCTGCTGCAGGATGCATGCGGAGATAAAATCAGCAACAAAGTCTTCGATCTGCTGCCCAGTATATACACCTTGCTGCTGCTGCTGCTGCTGCTGCTGCTGCTGCTGTTGCTGCTGTTCCTGCTGCTGATGCTGCTGCTGCTGTTGCTGCTGCTGTTGATGCTGCTACTGTTGATGCTGTTACTGTTGATGCTGTTGCTGATGCTGCTAGCCTGGTGGCGATGCTGCTGCAATGGAATGTTGCTGCTGCTGCTGCTGCTGCTGCAGTTGTGCTGCTGCATTTGTTTTGCGTTTATTTATTTATATTCATAATGCCAACAAAAAAAAAGGATAAACAAAACATTATTTATTTTATTTTATTCTGTCTCCTTTTGTCTCCTTCTGTCTCCCCAGGTGTTGCTGCAGCTCATCCTGCTGTACATACACCGCAGCGCCCTGCTGCTGCCGCTGCTGCTGCTGCTGCTGATGCACCCCTCACAGTAAGCCAGCTGGGTCCCCCCTCACCTACAGCAGCAGCAGCAGCAGCAGCAGCAGCAGCAGCAGCAGCAGAAGCTCCGCCTGACAAGGAAGTGGTGGAAGCTGTAGCTGCTCTGAAGGCGTTGCTGCGGCGGCATCTGCTGCAGCAGCCGTTGCACCAGCAGCTGCTGCAGCAGCAGCAACAGCAGCAGCAACAGCAGCAGCAGCAGCAGCAGCAGCAGCAGCAGCAGCTAGCAGCAGGCCGCAGCCAAGGTTTCTCTTACGGGCTCTCTCGCTCTTCTCTGTCTCTTACGCCTTCGGTGTCTCCGCACAGCAGCGCAGCACTGGAGTTTAGCTCCTACCAGCAGCAGCAGCAGCAGCAGCAGCAGCAGCAGCAGCAGCAGCAGCAGCAGCAACAGCAGCAGCAGCAGCTGCAGCAGCATGGAGAGCTGGCGCTTGTGAACAAAGCTGCAGCAGGCTACCAGCGGCAGCACAGCAGCAGATTCCGCGACGGTGCTGCAGCAGCAGCACCTGGTGCTGCTGCTGCTGCTGCTGCTGCTGCAGCAGCAGCAGCAGCAGCAGCAGCAGCAGCAACAGCTGGCAGCAACTACGGCAGCGCAACAGAAGGAG